CTCTGCTTATGTGGAACTTATGGTCATGTGTGTACGTGCACGTGTGTATGTGTGTTGGGTGGGGTGAATGGTAACAGTACCACGAAATTACTAATATGGCAGAATTTTTAAATGGAGGAATGGAAGGAAACCATTATTTGTTGAACATATATTGCTGAGTACTTCATGAGTTTTCTTATTTAATCTTCTCAACAACTCTAGAAGGAAGGTACACTTTACAGATGAAAAGCCCAAGCCTCAGAGGTTAACTTACTTGCTCCAGGTGATACAGCTAGTAGAATGGGCCTGGGATACGAATCTAAACACTGCCTGCATTGCACCCTTAAAGGATCCCGGAAAGTGGGATTAAGAGAGATGCGGGATGCTGTGGGAGTTCCAAGGAAGGAAAGCTACTTTCCAGGTAGAAGACAAGGTAGTTCCTGAAGGCATTTGAGCTCGTCCTTGAAGGGGGATAGAATCTTAGCAGGTGCAAGTTAAGGATGAGGCTGTTGCGGGTTGAGGAACAGCCTGAGAAAGCCACGGATATGAAAGGACACCAGGCATGTTTGCACAGTCGAGCAATCCAATCCGGCTGTGGTCTTAGGGAGGAGTGGGACTGGGTAAGAGATAAGGCTAGAAAGATAGGTAGGCTCCATATTTCCTTTCTTAAATACCAAGTTGGAAATAAAGCCTCCTAGTTGTACTCTGATGAAAAGAATACACAGAGTTAAGGTCTTTATTTTATCCTGAAGAACCCAGCAATCAATGCGTGGCTGTTTATTGAAGGGGAATGTGTTTTGTTAAGGTTGATGTAGGTCAGGAATTTGACTTCTGATTTCAAGACAAGTTTCTCAGGAAGTCTGAACACTGGGTTTGTACAACTTGACTGTCATTTCCCTGGGCCGGTTTTTGTTAGGGAGGATAAAGGGAATCTGAAAATGACAGGAATTTATCTTTGACAGATGCCTCTCACCAGCTGAGAAATAAGGGCTCTTTGTCACAGAGATAATTGAGTCTCCTCATACAAGTACTCCCAATTTTAACCAGGTTATATAAGCACCTAGATTTGGTCCTTTAATTCATTGTTGAGATTGCAGCACCAGAACATATGGGCACATGCAATTTTCTCTTCTGAGATAAATTTGCACAGAAAATAGGCTGTTGTTGTAAAATAGGACATCATAATATGTGAGTAATATTAGTGTTTTTCTAGGGCTCTGCACAAATAATAACTCACTCAGGAGTGCCTGTGGAACGGATCATATCTGTATGCATACTGGCTATCTTTGAAGGAATACAAAAATCTCCTTTATCACTTTTTCCTGACTTAATGTATATCTCTAATAAATTAGAAAGCTGCAAAAAATATATAAAGGAGAAAAATCTAAATAACTAATGACTGTTAATATTTTGGTCTATTTCCCCCTATCTAACTCCTCCACCCCAATTAAATCCATACTCTTTTGTTTATGCTGTTTTCGGTTAGCATTTTTTCATGCATACTTTCCTATGTCATTAAATAGTCTTTAAAAACATGATTGTAAAGATTATGTTATCATATAATGTCTATCCTTTGGCTATTTAATTCTCCTATTGTGGGACATTACAGTTTTTTCTGATTTTTCACTTTTATAAAATAATGCTGCAATGTATATATATAAATGTTGGTATGATTCAGATGATTCCCTGAAGATAAATGGCTGCATATGGTCAATGGGTGGAACCATCGTAGATGCTCAATTGAGATTGTGATTGCCACACTACCGCCAGCATGGTCGTACCTCTTTGCATTCCTACCGCGAGTGAATGAGAAGACCTTTTTCTCCTCATCCTAGCCAATGCTGAATAATTATCATTTTTGTAAATATTTGCCAATTCAATAGATGAAAAATAGTACCAAATAGTTCTACTTTTAATTTCTCTGAAAGTGAGGTCAAGCTGCCTGTGCAAGTACTCTGTGTGTGTGTGTGTGTGTGTTTACTGGTCATATCAAATATATATTTTAAGAACTTTACATGCCGTTTTCGATTTTTTTCTGATAGGATGTTCGTCTTTTCCTTATTGATTTGTAAGAGCTCTGAGTAATTATGATTATCTTCATACAGTAGAAACCAGTGCGTCCTTGAAAATGAATGAGAAAAATCTTTACTTGATTATTTAGAACCATTTCCAAGCTATGTTATTAAGTAAAAATAAAACAACAACAAAACAAACAAAAAACCCAAAGTGTACAACAGTATGAACAGAATTCTCCTGGATATGTAAGAGGGGGAGGAAGTAAAATACATGCAAAAGTATGTAGTTGTTTTATTTCTGGAAGGAGACATAGTATGTGAAGGTGGTTCCCTTGGGGGAGGAAGGCCTGCAGGAAAGACTTCCTTTCCATATTAACAATTTTATGTTGTTTGCATTTTTACTTTGTACTCTTGATCCTTTTGCATTTTTTACCTTGTGTACATTAAAGAGCTAGTTAATTTTTAAAGCTATAAATTAAGTATATTAACCTTTTCTCATTCACATGTGTTGCAGATATTTTTCCTGATTTGTTATTCACCTTTTAACTTTGTTTGTGTTAGTTTTTGACATATATGGGATCGAGTTTTTTTACATGATCATATCCATTAGCCTTTACTGTTGTGTTTTCTTTTATTGCTTTATACTCATAAAGTTCAAAATAAGATAAATTATTTACCTGTATTTTCTTCTATTGGCTTTTTGGTTTTTTTACTTTAAAACATCTATTGTGTATTTTGATATATGATGCAAAGTGATTATCTAAATTTTCTTTTTCCAGATAGTTGAGAAATATTCTCAGCACCATTTTCTCAATAGTTAGTTCTCCCTTTACCCACTGATTTGTGATATAGGTATATTAACTTTTTATATATGTTCTAAGATTTGTTGCCATGTTCTCTATTATATTCCATTGTCCTGGTTGTAGTTCTGCACTGTTTTGATCATTTACCTCTTCAATATATGTTACTATTTGATAAGACAAGTTCTCCAAATTAGCCTTAGTTTTATATGTGTGTGTTGTGTGTGTGTGTGTGTGTGTGTGTGTGTGTGTGTATGTATATATACATATACTCTTCTTATCTTTGAAATCCTTTTAAGTTTTTAAAAATCCCATTGGGATTACTATTAAGGCTAAAAATTAAATTTGGAAAGGATTAACTTCACTTCACATTTAGTTGTCCAGGCAGGAATATGTAACATATGATACTGTCTTCATTGAGGTCTTCTTTAAGGCCTCTAAGTAAAATTTTTATAAGTCTAATAAAGGATTTATAAGTTTTTTAAGTCTTTTACATTTGTTTTAGGTTTATTTTTAGGAAAGTATATTTTACAGCTGCAGTTTTTACTGTAAATGAGATTTTTTCATGTTACTTTTTAATTGGTACAAAAATATTGTTTATTAGCATTTTTTAATCTTAACATATGTTTA